GGCGGGGGGCCCCCGGGCCCCGCGCCCGCGCCTGCCGGGCCCCTCCTTGGGCTGCAGCTGCCCGGCCGGTGGCACAGGTAGTCCCACCGGGGTGTCCGTGGACCCACCACGCAGCGCATGCGACGCCCTGCCCGAGCGGTGTGGCACAGCGGTGGCACAGCCCAGGATGCGTCCGGCCCGCGTGAGCGTCGCGTGCAGCGCGGGTCCCGGGCGCGGCTGGCCGGGCTCTGCACAGGGGCGGGGGGGCAGCCCTGGGCCCTCCCCGGGCCATCGGTGACACGGGCAAAGCATCCCTCCCGTTCCCAAGTTCCTCGATGGAAATCACGGGCTTGAATTTGCTGTTTTCTTTCTGACACGCCTGCACGCGGCCCGGTGGCAAATTCTTTCCGACGTCATTACCGTACCTGAAGACATCAATACGCGCGGGTCGGGTTTTTATATTACGATGGGGGTCGGGGGGAGGGGGGGAAATCCATGAAAGCAATTGTTTGTGTGAAGGTTGCGAGATCACTCACAAGACTCTTGTAAGATTAAAATGCTAAATACAAATGATAGGTCTGAAAAGTCCCGGTAGCCAAAATTGTTGAGGTGCTAATTCCAGAGGTAGCTGAGAGTGCAGAGCATCTTGCCCGGCTGAGCCAACACAAAAGTGTAAAGTGAGCCGCACGGGTAAATACCCTCAAGCCTTAAAGGCCTTAAAGGAGTCATTTATTTGTGCATATGTATGTACAGTATATGTCTGATACATACATAATAATTCAACTAAACAGCAACAGATAGAGCAGCTCAATATAAATATTGACTGGATTAGTGATTCTAATTAATTTGTAAATCTTTTAAAATATGAAATGTTTTTCATTTTATAAAATTGTTAACAAAATGTTATTAGTCAAAGCAACCATTTATATAAAGGTTGCAAGATCTCTGGCAAAAGCATTGCAAGAGCACTTTGCTTGATATTTATTTTAAACTTATTTTTTAATTATTTACAATGTAGACCGTTTAATGAAACCTCGAGGGTAAATTCAAGTGTGTTTGCATGATGGCTTGGGTCACTTTTATTAAATTAACAAGCTGTTAAGATAGCCACCTTCTATTGGTTGTGTCTATTCATGCAGAGTCAATAAAATAACATTTTCCTTAATGTTGGGTAATTAGAGGGATAACATTTAACTTAGTGAAGTGTATCAGGATTACATTTTGCTCAAATGGGTTCTGTGATGCCTTTATCATAATTTATATTGTTAGTATTGGTATAATATAATAACGAGCTCTTACAACACTTATTTAATAAAGTGACTGCTAGTTATTTATAAATTTGGTTTTTTCCTATTTTTAAACCTATTTGTTCCTTTACATTTTATGCTTCACTTTTCCATTGCTGTGAAATATGTGGCAATGACATTTTAACTGAGAATTTGTACACAGGGGTTTTTTTTGTTTATTAAGAACCCTTCGTTTTAATCCTTTTTAAAACTCAGCCATAACTTTTATTTTAAATTCAGCTGGGTAACCTGAAATATATATCTTAGTGCAAGCATGTGTGTTCTTATTTTGCAAAGCTTTATTAAATGGGTCTGGCCGTTATTTTAGAGAAGAAAAGCTTGAAAAAAGTATTGTTCAGATTGGGGGGCTGAGCATTCACTTCAGATCTTTAGCTAGCATAAGGCTTTAAAACATAGTTTTACTGACTGAGTTGATCAGTTTATGAAAAGGATTACATGATGTATTAGCAGGGCACTGGACTCAGTTACCCAGGAAATTTCTACAGTTTTTTAAACTGGGCCAAATACTGAAGCTTGTTAGATCACCCTGGGGGAGAGAGTTTCAAATATTTGAGGCATGCCCATGCAACTGCTTTCTTTAGTTAAGTCAAATAATTTCTTTAATGATATGGAAAAAGTTAGGGTAAATTAGGATCTTTTGAACATGCAGTAAAATGGCTAGGCACTTGTGATTACATACGCAAGCAAAGCCTGCACTTCCATATGCCTCTTACTGGTTTGACTTTAAGCTTGCCCTTAATTATTTTACTTTATTGGTATTTGGCTATAAATTTAGGTAGTGTCAAGAGAAGTTTACTGTTGTATTTTCTACTGCAGTATGGGAATCAGGAACTTGATATTGAAAGCTAGTGAGTCTTAATTTTTGGAATTCATCTTGTAAGGTATATTGGTAACTTCCAGTTATGTAGCTAATGTCACTAATAAGCAATACTGCTTATGTGAAACCAGTTGAAGTGTCATGAAAAGTAGGCAACCTATAACTTTCTTGCATTCCATTATTACATTTCCTACACTTTGAGTGTTCTGTGAACCTGCAGTTAAGAGTCTTAAAGATGGAACTGATTATGTAAATAGACCTGTTTTAATTTAGATGCAAGTGGGACACTGCAGCTTTCAGTGCTCTGAATGACTGCAAGGCTGAAATAAATGATTGTTCCTTTTATATAAGGATTTTAAGATGCCCATTCTCACTTTCAATTTATAGGTACATTGTTTCTGCATAATAATCCAGTTGTAACATCTTAAAATATTTTAACCCAAATCAGTTTCTTTTGTGTACTGTGTAGCTGTAGAAGCTGATGATTTGCAGAGACTGAGTAATAAGTTGTACGGGAGAAACCATGTATAGGATTTGCAAAATCTGTCATTTCTCACTATTTCATTAGAGTCCAAGAGACCTTTTGTGATTCCTGTGGTATATGTCTAACAGAAATTGAATATGATACTCAGAGTGGGGGAAATTTTAAATTAAAATTGCTTTCTCTTACAGCCCAGAGGTAATGATGAAGAATCTAAGAGTTGCTTTCTTTTAACATGAAACAAGGAACTGGGTTACAATGCAGAAATATGTGTTACACCTAAAGGCCATGGACACACAAATGGGTAAATCTGTGGTAAATCAAGCTGCCCAATTTAAAGAAAAGTTATGAATATATGACTCAAAACCTAAGAGTGATTTAATCCCACTCCAACAGAATTAATTTATTCCATCTGAGTCAGGGCTGCATTCGTCACACTTTCCATTGCCTGCCTTTCAGTGTACAGCATGCTCTTTTGTGTGCAGCTGCTCTGGGTTTATAGAATCATAGAAAAGTAAGGCTGGATGAGATCTCATGAGGTCATCTAGTCCATCTTCCTGCTG